CGTTTTTGGATGTGTGCAGACCTTCTCTTTTGCGCGTGCAACGTTTCACTAGCTTGCTCACCTGATGCCCCCTTCTTTGCGAAACGAACATTTTCTCCACAAACTCAGATCGCGCGTGTGCAAAATGCACTTTTGTGTGCGCTCAAAATATGATCTTTCGCGCGCAGAATTGTGGCAGTAATGTAAGCCCATAATCAGGAGGCGCTGGCTGGTGTGTGACTGAGTGGAGGCGGGACTAATTTGCATATTCATAGATCCGCGTATAGTAAATGAGGCAAGGGTGTAGAGCAGGGGTGTCCAACCCTGCTCCTGGAGAGCTACCGTCCTGCAGACTTTAGTTCCAACCCTGCTCCAGCACACCTGTCTGTAATTATCAAGCAACCCTGAACACCTTGATTAGCTGGTTCAGGTGTGTTTGATTGGGGTTAGAGCTGAAATCTGCAGGATGGTAGCTCACCAGGAGCAGGGTTGGACACCCCTGGTGTAGAGTTGCATTCAAGCTATTTAAAGGCATGAGAAAATTATTTTCACAAGAAAAAACATTTAAATATGTAATTTTGATGATCAAAGATACGTTTTAAGGGATAAAATATTTGACTACAGGGGGACTTTAATAAATATAATAATTTAAAAAGGAACTAAAATGATTACTGATGAACCTGTAATGAGACATTATGAAAAGTAAATCTTTGTATGTGAATATTCTCATGTAATGGCCAGTATTGTTGTTTCCTAAAACAAAAACATTTTAAAATATTTTTATTAATTAAATTAATGAAAATATTAAAATAAAGCTGGAATAAAATAAAATGCACTAGATGAAAACATACATTTAAAGAACTTAAATGATAATTAGAAATGCTGCCTTCGGCAACAAACTGAAATAAAGTAAGTTGTAGTTGAAATACTAAAATTGCTCAATTTGAAACTGAAATAAAAATGTATTCAAGCTACATAGAGATTTAAAAATAATAAAAAATCATATAACATCACCAAAAACTTAACTAAAATGTAAAAATACAAATAAACGAGAATTTTAAATATATTGATAAATACTACAATAGTATGTTAATGTAATAATGACTAATGACTTAATTTTATAGTCCGAGCAGCTCTCTCTATATAAAATTTTAAATTATTATGCAGGTACATATTACAATACAAATAACGTATTATAAAAAACGGTTCTCAAGTACATAAATGTGACCCTGGAGCACAAAACCAGTCTTAAATCGCTGGGGTATATTTGTAGCAATAGCCAAAGATACATTGTATGGGTCAAAATGATTGATTTTTCTTTTATGCCAAAAATCATTAGGATATTAAGTAAAGATCATGTTCCATGAAGATATTTTGTACATTTCCTACCGTAAATATATTAACTTAATTTTTGATTTGTAATATGCATTGCTAAGAACTTCATTTTGGACAACTTTAATATTTAGATTTTTTTTTGCACCCTCAGATTCCAGATTTTCAAATAGTTGTATCTCGGCCAAATATTGTCATATCCTAACAAACCATACATCAACGGAAAGCTTATTTATCCAGCTTCCAGATGATGTATAACTCTCAATTTCGAGAAATTGACCCTTATGACTGGTTTTGTGGTCCAGGGTCACAAATGTATTATAGTAGATGCCTAGTCTGTCTGTCTTTCTTTCAAGCCAACAAGTTCTGTTCGCAGTTCTCCAGGCTTTGGTGGAACCTCTGGAATGGTCTATAAGGTTAGAAAAAACATTGTTTATACTGTACTTAATGTTTACAGTCAACATGAAATCTAAATGTACCCAATTTGTTTTCAAAATGCACATTTCTTGATATATTGAGAACAATTCATTGGTGTATGTAATTCAATCAATCAATCAATAAAATCTCTACAGTTAAATTACAAAAATAAAATGGGTTGCAAATTGCAATTCACATTTATAGATAAATATCTAGGTAGCACAAACACCTAAACAAAACAAAACGCACAAAATCTGATTTGGAAACGTACTAAATCAGGACGGTAATACTGATGCACAACCTGTGCTCCAGCAAACATTGACAACACACTGGCTGCAAACATCCGTAGATATCTTGGCCACGAATTGACCCTTATGACTGGTTTTGTGGTCCAGGGTCACAAATGTATTATAGTCATAAAACAGCATGATGTCCAATCATGACAGAGTAACCAGCATATATCATTTCAGTAAATATAACTAAAATCTTACAGCCTATATAATATAATACAGTATAATGTAGGTTAATGCTAGGATAAAATAGAAATAAAATGATACATAGATGGTCAATATACAGCACAACATCTAAAATGTCTTTTTGCTCTTTGACAGATGACCAGCGTCTTAAGAAGAATCAGGCATTTCAAGAACAAGTATCTGAACTAACCTTGCGTTTGCTGTTTGGTTTCATTGTAAACAGACCAAAGCCAACTGGTCTTGTCGCCACTGAAGCTGGTGCACATGTTTCTTGCTGTCAGCTGTCCCACAGGAACCTCTCTTCTCCGGGACACGAGAGCAGATTTCGAGATCCACGGCGTGCTGGTGGTGTTGACCGTCCATATCCCGCCTCTAGTGTGCAAATACTTAAAGTGCGTGAAGAGTCTCTTAAAACCTTCCTGATTTCTGAGCAGGTTTGAAAGTGGCAAGAACAAGGTCGGCATATTTCCCCGCACCAGAGCTGCCTTCTGTTTGACAGACGAGTGCTTCAGCTATACATTCTCCTACAATACTGTCTCAAATATACACATGCTTACTTCCGTTTGCACGTTGACAGGCTAATTTTCATAATATAAGTACAGAGCAACAAAAATTGCCATTATTAAAAATAAATCAGAAAAGAAAACCCAGAGAAGAATTATGTTTTTTAATAATTATCTAATTTATTTTTTCCTAAATTAAGTTATAAAAAAATCTTAAATTGTTAGAGAAACTCTGAATTAGGCTATAATAACACAAAACTAAATAACTGTTACAGAGAATTGAGTTGCAAAGTATTTTATATGACAAATGAAGACAGTACAAGTTTGTATAAATTGCTTTATTCACAGAATTAAAAAATGCATCATTTTAGTTAGGCTTTGAAAAACATTTTTTTTTCATATATATGTAGTTGTGGTGTTTGGGTGTCCAAACATCCTTAGATATCTTGGCCACGATACACCTGCTGGCATCCTTAAAAGTCAGCTGGCTGACAAATGTTCTGCTAATTAAGAGAATTTGTACCTAAAGAAAGAAAAACTGTTTATTTCAATTGCCCTTCTAATTGCTGTTAATATTTAAATAGAAAGGAAATATTGGGTACTGTTAGCCCATACCAACAATTAAATTATTTTATGACTATTTTAAATAACAACACCAAATATTATTAGATTATTTATAAAATTATATCAAAATGACAATAAAAACAAAAAGCCATTATTATTTTCATGTTTACATCAACACAGCTAGTCTAAATACACCATTTCATATTGGTTAATCAAAGCTTATTTAAATGCAATTAAAAAAAAATTAAAAATGAACACTTAAGCATTTCATGTGACATAGCTAAGTATTTTATCAGTCAATTTAATCACTTCTTGCTATAAGGTCATTTCATCACAGCTAGCTATCTTAAACGTAGCAGCAAATGAAGCATATGTGTGATTATATTTAAATACAGTATTATAATTCCCACATTAAGCTGGATAAAATCTGGAGACATATACTAACCTTGTTATGTTATAATCGAAATAACATTACAGGTTTCGTTGCACGACATTCGGCAGTAAAGGTTCTTGTTACGTCTCACATGTTTGCTTTGGAAGTCTTAAATCACGTTTATCATAGGGAGTACTGAAATGGATGGTTTGTCGTAATTGCGCTAAGTAATAATAAAATAATAATTAAATTGATTAAATTAATACTTTGTTTTACACGTATTTGAACACCGGTAATTTCAAGCACGCCATAAGATGCGTTTTATATAAAAATATATGAAGAGAAAAAATTCGACCCCTCCTTTGTAAATAATGGTCGAGTCCAACAATGTGAAGCCAGCCATTAGAAATTTATTGTATAAAAATATGGATTTAAATTCGGCACGAATGGTTGCTCGTATTAACGTTTTATCGTGTTAATTTTCAAATCACCATCTATAATAATTAGATAAAAAATGAAAAGCTTTGAATCCAAAAACTATGTAACTATATCGTTTTACCATGCGTTAAACTAAGAACTTTTATTTTGAATTTAGCCTTTACCTTTGTTGACATTTTTACTTACACCGGCTGCATTCATCGTGTGTAGCATCATTTAGCTTTTACTTTTCTGCACTAAATATACTCAAATGTGCCAGAAAAGGTCTGAAGAATATATATGGCAGGTAAGATTCATAATCCTAACGCAGAAAATTATATCTGTATTTGAAGAAACGAGTGATTTTAATGCTTGTATTCCGTCACTGGTCCACACACAGCTCTTAGCTTATTGAGTGTAACGAGCTAGTTAGCTGCATCCTACAGTGCTGCTCATAACAGAGGTTGAATAGTCTTTGAAATATGTATGTTTTTAGACAAAATTAGTGTTTTATATAATCCTGTGACGTTTAATCGATAAGCTAAGCATAATGAAAATAGGACGGTAACAGAGGATTAAACAAAGGGAGGTGTGGTTTACCAGCTGGCATATCAGTAACATAAACATGAATATTAATCTATTAAAGTAAGACCACCAATTAAGATGGAAGAAAGGCAGTATTCATCTCTGACGGCCCCTATGGATTATCTTCAGTACTGGTGAGTTTGCCCAGCCCCAAAAGATCCCAAAAGAATTGCTTTCTTATATGTTTTAAATAAATTAGTGATGTGTATACTGTGATTCCAACAAATGCTATCAAAATGGGATATGAAGGTGTATGGTAAATGTGTAAACACTGACAAGAAAAAGATCAGATTATTGCCATAGGTTTTGAAGTAAGTGCAGTGTCTTTGTAATTTTGTTTTCTCAGGTATCAAACCAATTCTCAGCAGTACCAGGCAGAGCAGGTGCCACAGTACCACCAGATGGTTAATGCCGCCCAATACGCCGAGAGACCTGTGGAGGACAAAATCATGACTGATCTTTCAGTGCATCAAGATCCATATCTGGATCAACCTCAGCAGCTTCATCAACTCTCTGCCCAACCATCAGGTACGACCTTTTGCATCCTCACAGTGCATTTAACTGGGATATTTCTGCAGCTTATTAAACATCTGGTTTGCAGCCCTTCCGACGACTCCAGCAAAAGGAAAGAAAAGGGGAAGGCCTCCAAAAGGTGAAGGAAAGGAGAAGACGGAAGCTGAAGAGTCTGCCAAGAAAGCGAAGAGGACGTTAAATCGGTTCAACGGGATGTCAGTGGAGGAAGTCATGGCTAGAAAGCTGCCAGACGTCATCACACATAATCTTGACATGCTGATTGTAAGTTTCTGGTTTATAAAGTCATCAAGTTTGATCTGTTTTTATTTATTCTATAAATTAAGTACATATGTATAGTTAGGTCCATATATATTTGGACAGGCACAATGTTTATTTTTTCATCTGCTGACCAAAACATGTTCAAGTTACAATCCCATAATGAATATGGGCTTAAAGTGCACACTCTGAGCTTTCATTTGAGGGTATTCACATCAAAATTGGAGGAAAGGTTAAAGAATTACAGCTCTTTAATATGTAGCTCCCCCCTTTTTCAAGGGACCATAAGTAATTGGACAATTGACTCAAAAGCTGTTTCATGGACAGGCATGGGCTATTCCTTCATTATTTCTACATCAATTAAGCAGGTAAAAGTTCTGGAGTTGATTCTAAGTGTGCCATTTACATTTAGAAGCTGTTGCTGTGAACCCACGTCACATGGTCAAAGGAGCTCTCCATACAAATGAAACAGACAATTATTAGGCTTCAAAAACAAAATAAATCCATTAGAGAGATAGCAGGAACATTAGGAGTGGCCAAATCAACAGTTTGGTACATTCTGAGAAAAAAAAAAAGAACACCCTGGTGAGCTCAGCAACATAAAACAGCCTGGATGTCCATGCAAGACAACAGTGGTGGATGATCTGAGGATCCTTTCTATGGTAAAGAAAAACTCTTTCACAACACCCAGCCAAGGGAAGAACACTCTCCAGGAGGTAGACGTGTCACTGTCAAAGTCTACAATCAAGAGAAGACTTCACCAGAGCAAATACAGAGGGTTCACCACAAGGTGTAAACAAGGCCAGATTTGACTTTGCCAAAAAACATCTAAAAAAGTCAGACCACTTCTGGAAAAGCATTCTTTGGACGGCTGAAATTGAGATCAACCTATACCAGAATGACGGGAAGAAAAAAGTATGGAGAAGGCTTGGAACAGCTCATGATCCAATTCATAAAGCAAAAGCAACCCAGGAGTTTTTGAAGGTAAAAAAGAGGAATATTCTGCAATGGCCAAGCCCATCTCCTGATCTCAACCCGATTGAGCTGCATTTCACTTGCTGAAGACAAAACTAAAGGCAGAAAAACCCACAAACAGACAATAACTGAAGTCAGCTGCAGTAAAGGCCTGGCAAAGCATCACAAAGGAGGAAACCCAGTCTCTGCGGATGTATTTACTTGTCCAATTACATTTGAGCCCCTGAAAATGGGGGGACTGTGTATAAAAATGGTTGTAATTCCTAAGCATTTTATGTTTCTATTTTTGTTCAACCCCTTGAATTAAAGCTTAACGTCTGCACTTCAATTTCATATTAATGGTTTTATTTTTAATTCTGTTCTGGTGGCATACTGGAGTCGAAATTATTAAAATTGTGTCATTGTCCAAATATATATGGACCTAACTATTTTAAAGTTATTTTTATTTATATATTAATAATTATTATGGATTTTAAAATTAATCTGAATTAATACATATGAATAAATAGTAATATGACATTTTTGTTTGTTTGTATAAACTCGTTGCTACTTTTACAGATCGGCATCAATCCAGGACTTTTGTCAGCCTACAAGGGAAGGCATTATCCAAATCCTGGGAACCACTTTTGTATGTATTATTCAGCTTATTCTTTTGTAAAGGATGTTTATATATTTATGCTTGTCTTTTGATTGATTGTTGAATGTCTCATAGGGAAATGCCTATATCTTTCTGGGCTGACTGAGGAACAGCTCAACCACATGCATGATCAGACGCTTCCTGAACGGTATGGCATTGGTTTCACAAATATGGTGGAGAGGACAACACCTGGGAGTAAAGACCTATCAAAGTAAGTCTTTAACATTTACATTATCTGTGTGAAAGGTGTGGCCACATTTATGGTTGTTCAGCCAAATTTTGCAAACAAATTTCAGTCATTTCATGTGAGGGTGAAAGATTTCCCCATGCAGGTTTCGCAACCTATTCAAGCAGCTTGGATTTATAAGTGACTTCTGTGCGAATGAAGCTTCATACTTTGATAAACTATTGACAATAGAGAATGGACCTTTTTGGAAAGTCTCAAACAATGCAAATTTCTCCAACATCTTGCTAATGGAACCGCACCTTAAAAATGAGCTTTATGCCCTAAGAAATGCTTGATATGAATACATTTGAATATCTTGAGTGTTGGTTTGCAGCAAAGAGATCCGTGAAGGTGGCCACCAGCTTTTGGAAAAGCTCCAGAAGTACAGACCTTTAATCGCTGTGTTCAATGGAAAATGTAAGTCGTTGATTTGCTATTGATTTAAGTCTAAACTCATATTTATGATGAAAGTTAATCCTGTTTGATATTTCAGGTATTTACGAAACATTTTGCAAGGAGATTTTTGGAGTAAAGGCTAAGAACTTAGAGTTCGGATTGCAGCCTTACAAAGTGCCGGAAACAGAGACGGTACGAGCTTCTTTCTTGATAGTTTAATGTTCCTGTTTATAGTTGCATATTGATTAGATATGAGCTTCTATTGTCCAGGTTTGCTATCTGATGCCATCATCAAGCCCACGCTGTGCCCAGTTTCCTCGTGCTCAGGACAAAGTGCACTTCTTCATCAAGTTAAAGGAGCTCAGGGATCAAATGAAGGGAGTGGTGAGGACTCAAGAGATCCAAGAGACAAACTACACATTTGATCTGACTGTGGCCAAAGGTGAAGACTTTTACAACTGAAAGCCGTTTTTGTGTTGTTCAAAAATATAAGTTGTTAACCAATGTCCTTTGTCATTGTTTATTCTAGAGGATGCCAAAAGACTGGCAATCAAAGAAGAGCAGCATGACCCCGGATATGAGGAGACCTGTGCCCATGGATCACAGCAGCACCCACAGCAAGCATTTGGGGTCCATCCTTCTCCGGACACAGGTAAATAAATATTGTGTACGGAAAGAATATGAACAATTTTGTGTCAGGTGCTTGTAATAATAGTCAAAATTCTTTAGACCAGGTATCGGACAACCGGTGGACAATGCAGCCGTTTGCAGACCAGATTCCAGACATCAGATGTAGCAACAGCAACTGAATAGCCTGAGAAAAGTAGTTCTCGCACAAAGACTGTTGTCTACACTGTATGTACTGAGAAGGACCAACTAAACTTTATTTTTTTTTTATTGTTTTATTTCATATTTGAATGCGTTTTGCCTGTTTCCTGAAGTTGTTACCTGAATTATTTCAGTGTGTGAAAGCGTGAATGACTTTCTGATTGAGACATTTCTTAATTTTGTGCCTCTATTTTTATCCTTTTAAGGAAACTTCAGTCATAAACTACAGTTCAAAGGTTTGGGTTAGTAAGATTTTTTTTCTTAAAGAAATTAATTTCTATTCAGCAAGTATGCATTTCAAACAAATACTGTTCATTTGAACACAAAAAATGTTAAGCAGCATTGTTTTTTCACTTTCTACATTCGAAATAATAGGAAATGTTACTTGAGCAGCAAATCTTCATATTAGAATGATTTCTGAAGGATCATGTGACACTGAAGACTGGCGTAACGATGCTGAAAATTCAGCTTTGCATCACTGGAATAAATTACATTTTAAAATATATTCAAATAGAAAACCGTTATTTTAAATTGTAATAATATTTCACAATATTACTGTTTTTACTGTATTTTGGGTCAAATAAATACAGCCTTGGTGAGCACAAGAGACTTCTTTTTTTTTTTTTTTTATCTTACCCAAACTTTTGATTGGTAATGTGTATTCCCATTAGCTGAAGTTATGTATTTTCGTGATATTGGAATTATTTCACATTCACATGTTTTTTTTATACGAGTATTTCAGTGCAACAAATTCCTAATGGAAACCATGGCTGGACTCTGGAAGAGGTTTATCACTGTGCATGTCCTCAGTGCATGGATTTAAAGTAGAATTGCAGATGGCATGCTCAGTCCCAAGTTATGGTGCTTATTGAAAACAGATCACTCAATTTACCTCATTTTGAATGCTATTTTTAGAATTGTGTTTTGTTATTTTGCAATCAGTATGTATAACCGTTTAGTACCATTTATACCTGTTACATCATAATAACCCAGCTTCATTTTTGCTGTGAGAATTATGTACTATGTATGTCATTTTGTAAGTTGTATTTTGTTTTTTATATGTATGTATTACTAAGGGCCAAATAAAGCCATGTGTATTAGTTATTGTCAGTTATTGTCACAATTAAAATTAAAATACATACCTTTCTAATACGTCTGAAATAAAAGCCGCGACTATAATCTTCGTTGTTGAGAAATCAGTGAAGAAATATTTTTGCAAGGTGCAAATCGCCACAACCGAACTATGTATTTAAGACTTTATTTTGACATTTGCTAAACGGGAAACGGACGTTTTTTTATTTATTGAAGCGCAGCCAATAGGAAGCACGCTCTGAAGCGTTTAAATGTCACAGGAGACGGAGGTCATGCTATTAAATTTAGAGGGGTGCAGTTTTTCATCTCCATAATGAATTTAAGATAAAACTAATAGCGTGCAGTACGTTTTTGTTTTTACATTTAAAACACGTAACAATATAGCTTAATTTCTGATTTCTTTGTTTTCTATTTAAATTTAACTTAAGAGACAGACATACTGTGCCCAACACGCCCCTAGTATTGGTGCTTTTGGTACGCTCCACTGTCAAATGATTTCTCGCTGTTGGTCTCGTCTTTGTTGCTTTCACCGGTTTTGTTCCTAAAACGAGAAAAATCAACATTTCAGTGGACTATCGTTCTACTATCACAACGGTATGTATTCATTTAACAAACAAAGCTTAATTTGATTAATTACACAATGTAAATGCATTTTATGCCGATAGAAGCGCTCTGCACAGTTAGCTAGCGACCATCATTCATTGTGCTCAATGAATTGGCACTCTAGGCCAGTATTAGCCGAACATGCTAACAGTATCACATATGGTTTTTATGTTTATGTAAAATAAAGGATCACAGCCGTTTACCTGCACTTGTCCTGCTGAATTAATATGTAATTACTAAATTTAGATTAGTTTTCTCAGTACCACAGTTTAAATTACTGGATGTGTCTAAATAGTGAGATGTGTTGGATGATTACGTGGAGTGTGTGTTTAAAATCCAGCACACAGAACCTTTTCTGATCTGGTTTATACATTTAAGCCAGACTATAGGCTGGATATGTTTTGATGTTCTCTAAATGTAGAATTGCGTTTATGTATAATTTAACCTATTTATTATATAACTATAAAATAAGCTAGAAGTAAAAGGGCTGGTTATAAATATTCCCCTGTGAGAATACCACTTGAAATTGCTGTTGAAATGAACACAAATATTGATTTATTTAAGTAAATCCTTTAGAGATGGATGAAAGGCTCTATGGATCTTTGCCTCATGCCCCTTCGGAATACCTCCAACAATGGTGAGTGTCCCCATATGTCGTCATTTGGCGCGAAGATTAATTACGATCCCACTGGTTTTCTTATGCTGTTATAATAACATTCAGCATTTTAAAGGTCCCATATTGTCAAAACTGAAATTTCCTGGCTTTTTTCATGATTACTGAGGTCTATGGGCTATTTAACTACCATATAAGTGTCAAAACAGTCAGTCCACAGTAAAATGCACACAGCCTGCATAAAGTAGCTGTGATTTTTCACGAACCATTGTGACTTCCGTAAAAAGTTGACGTCAGAACTACAGTCACCACCCCGAGCACCGCCCACCGTCCCACTCTCCTTTTGCCAAACCCCCAGACAACATCGCATCCATGCCATTGCTGACTGAGCAACAACAACACGGAAACATGTCGAAAAGGTTAACTTTAACAACGAAACCAGATCGGCCTTCCTGTAAGGTTGCACTCTCACTCAAAGGATGGACGATCTGACAGGATTGTTACTATGAGGTGGATCACATCTAACGTGTATAGTAAAGACAAACTCACCGTGTCTATCTAGTCATGATGAAGATGTATATACATTTCAATTTCAGCAGGCAACTATTTTTACAGCTACATTATTGTTCCAGCCACAATTAATCACAACAATGTATATACAATTACAAATGATTATATATAAATCATCAGTTTGTTGTTTTACACACATGCACACAGACATTATTTCATACATGACATACTGGCACCCAACATCACAACAAGATGATATTTTAAGCTCCTTATGTAGCCGAATCTGCGCTGGTTTGAATGGGCCACCTCCAGTTTCTCCTTTGTTTTGCTGCCTCCAGCTAGCGCTATGACGTCGCTGACCCTAGTTACCTGTGGTTGGCCTGGCCGTGCGTCACTCAGAACACAACAGGCCAATCAGAAGACAGGCTCATGAATATTAATTACAGGCCAAAATCGTCCTGTTCTCAGCAGAGCTCCTGAGAAAGGAGCTGTAAAAATATATTGAGATGGTTTTTGGTACTTATACCGCAAATATATATTCTTAAGGACATCAAAACCTCAAATAAAACTCCAGAAAGGTGTACAATATGGGACCTTTAAGTCTGTTTTTGAATGCTACTAACCAGTCTGTAGCGCCATGCACGAAAAAAGCAACAATAACAAGTTATTAGCCAGCTTACATGAAGAAGAAACTGCCATGGTTTTGCCACTTGTGTTTGTTTTGAAAACGGACGTTCCTGCAATTATTAATATGTTCTTTTTGCAGGGTTGCATTAATGACTTGACTTCTCAAATGATTATAGTTTAACTCCATATCTCTTTATGGAAGTTGCACCTGCTTCACATAAGACAATCTCCGATGTAAAGGAGACGCAGTTATTATGTTGAAGTGTCAGTTAAGTGATGCATAATTTCTAGTTATTAAACTGAATTTTTAATGAGTATTTTCATTTTATAGATTTATTTTAAAAATATTACAAGCTTTATAGTCATTATACAATATATTGTAGTTTAATAATTAATTAAAACGTCATTAGTATTATTATGGCATTATATAAGCTTTGCAATCTACATGGTTGTGAATGTATTTTCATTTTTGTTTGTGTTGTCTAACTGTTAACTTTTAAGTGTTTCTTGTTAAATAAGACTTAGGTGTCTGTTAACTCATGTTAAAATGATTTCTAATTATGAAACTATATTTTAGTTTTACATTTTTATTTTAAAAATATTATAGTTATAAAATATCGTTTTATAATTAACTGTGATTAATGCACCATTCATAATATTAATATCATCCCATTATATTTATGCAAAGGTAAATATGCGATCTAAATAGCTGCAAATGTATTTTAATCTTTATGTATTATCAAATTGTTAAATGTTTTTCTTGTCAAGTGAAGGAGTAATTATGCAAAGTTACTTTACCTGTAAACACCAATGTTTTCTGTTAAATGCAGTGTTGGGATAATCATGACTTCACTACATCGGTACAGAATATTGGTCAAACTGATTAACAATCTCTATTTTGCATCTTATTAAATATGCACTTTTAAGATGGACTTTTTTCTACAGAAGTCTAAGTTGGACTGACAACTCAGTCAGTCCCTGTTGTATTTCTGAACTAGGGTTCAGTCAGCTCAGCAGCATCTGCAGGCCCTTCAAGCTCAGTATCCTCACATGGCTAATGGCAATGCTGGTTTTATGATGGAGGGACGCAGAGAAGATGGAGGCATGCCGCAGATGCCTGTACACCCAGAGGATGCCGCCCAAGTGGAGCCTGCGGCTGCACAGAAAGGTAGTTATCCAGGACTGTGTGTTTTCAAGCATCAGAACTGAGCTCAGCAGACAATACATTCTCTCATGTAGCTTTTAGTCAGAGTGTTTTTTTCCCCGTTTAAGCACCTGCTAAAGGAAAGCGAGGAAGGGCAGCGAGCAAAGAACCTAAAGCCAAAGGTGAACCTAAAGCCAAACCTGGACCCAAACCCAAAAAAGCCAAGGAGGATAAGGAGGCCCCGCCAGCTGAAGGACAGGAGAAGATTGACGGAGCCTTCAAGAAAGTCAAGAGGAAAGTCGATCGCTTCAAGGGCATGTCGGAGGAGGAAGTCATGAAGAGAACACTGCCTGACATTCTTACCCCCAATCTGGACTATGTCATTGCAAGTTTTTATGGCTTTTCTTTGAAGTTGTCTTTTAACAATGAAGAATGTTAACCCAAAGATGGCATTGAACCCAAATGATTGAAATGAATCTTATATTTATGATACAGATCGGAATTAATCCAGGGTTGATGGCGGCCTACATTGGAAGATGGTTTCCTGGACCAGGAAACCATTTTTGTAAGTAGACTACAATTCTACTCATGTCTATGGTTATATTATGCTTTAATGTAAAAGAGATTTTATTGTTATTATATTGTTTATTTTATTTATATAATTGCTATTATAAATATATTGTAGGGCTGTCAAATCGATTATTCGCATCCAAAATACGTTTTTGTTTACAATAATCGATTTGACAGCCCTAATATATTGTTGTTTTTAATATATTAATATAAAAGGTTGTTTACAAACATAAAAAGAGAAATTCTAAAGGTTAATATATATTAATAATATAAATAAAATATTCTAATATAATATAAATAATGAAAGAACAAATATTATAAACAACTTGTATTCATATTTTTAAAAGGAATTGTTCAAAACAGTTATGTTGACATTATTATCTTTCAATATAAAGAGGTATTTTATATTATGTCTTTATTGTTAATAATATAACAGTGCTATTAGTATTGTTATTATTATTATTATTATTAATAAATTCATATAAAATTAAATTATTATATTAACATTTTAAAAAGTGGTTGTAGACAAATATAAAAAGATTTTATACTGTTAAGAGTTTTTAATATAGTAATGTAAATACAGAAATATTCTAATATAAAATAAAATTTATTATATATATAAAAAAATTCAAATATAAAATAACGTAAATAATTATGCAGCATAATATATTTTTAAAAATCTATAATATATTAATTAAAAAAAATAAATAGTTTAAAATCTCTAATCTTTCAATTATTAAACTATAATCGTTCTTGTCAATCTTTTAGGGAAGTGTCTGTTCCTGTCTGGATTCACAGAGAAGCTGCTAAATCACATGGATGATCAGAGTTTGCCTGAGAAATACAGCATCGGCTTCACAAATATGGTAGAGAGAGCGACACCGGGAAGCAAAGATCTCTCTAGGTGCGCTAGATTGTCACTCTACTTTCATTCTTTACTGGAAATAGTGATGTTCCTCTCATCCAAGCTGTTTTACTTGTCACCTTCTGCAGCAAGGAGCTTCGAGAAGGTGGTAAAATCTTAGTGGAAAAGATAAAGAAATTCAAGCCACTCATAGCAGTTTTTAATGGAAAATGTAAGTATTCAAACACAAATACAGAATGCAAACTGATATGAAGGTGGGCATTTAACAATTACAATTGTTTTAGGTATATATGAAATGTTCTGTAGGGAGATATTTGGGAAGAAGCCCAAAACACTTGAATTTGGCCTACAGCCTCACAGGATTCCTGACTCTGAGACGGTAAAAAAAAAAAAAAAATGTTTTGGTTCACTTCATGAAAAAAATGTGGTCAGGTATGAGTCATATGCTGTATCTTACTGTTTTCTGTAGGCGTTGTACCTGATGCCCTCCTCCAGCGCCCGCTGTGCTCAGTTTCCTCGTGCTCAGGACAAAGTGCATTTTTACATCAAGCTGAGAGAGCTCCGAGATCAGCTGAAGGGTGTTGCGAAGCCCAAGGAGATCGAAGAAGTGAACTACTCGTTTGATCTTGGCATGGCCAAAGGTACAAGCAGACCGTTTGTGATAGCCCTCCTGATGTACACAATTATGAACTGTACTTGACCACTTTATCTTCCTTCTGTCTTGCAGAGGACGCTAAGAAGATGGCCATCAAGGAAGAGCAGTATGATCCTGGTTATGAGACAGCTTTCGGAGGGGCGTATGGAGAACCGGCACCTGAAGGAGGTCAAAGCAATGGATATTGTAACTTCTCCACATCTGAGGAGAAAGGTTGGTACCATCTTTCCTCTGTGGAACACAAAAGAAGATATATTTTTGTCCATACAATGAAAGTCAGAGGGGTCTTTAGATGTTTAAAATCAATTTTTGTGTTCATATCTCCAGCTGACGCAGCGGAGAGGGCGCCTACGAATCCAAACGCGGGTGGCCAGGTTCAAGACGGTCAGTGGATGACGCAGTCTTTTGCCGATCAGATCCCAGACATCGGCAGCTCCTCTCAAGCCCAAAGCTGGGGTGTATGAGGAAGGACCGTTCTCAGGGACTTCAGACGAAGCCTGTCGGTTCCTGTGCTCTTCCAGAGATGCTGTGCCTCTTATCTTCTCTCAGTCGAATCCAGGAGTCTTTGGGGCATTGGTTTCTTTCTCCTGTGCGTTGCTGTGACAGTCTGTTACGTTAGAATTTCAGGACCGATTTGAGGAATCCGTATCATGCGAGGTGGCCCAACTTGCACAAGGAGAATCCAATGGCTGCTGTGCTTTTAAAGAAACTGTACCTCTGAACTTCAATTTGGGGGCCTTTGAGATCTCAAATGCCTCTTTATTAAAGAAAAGAACAGTTTTTACTATGAATTTCAATTAGACCTTTTAGGAATTAGCATTTCTATGAAACTGGAGAATATACTCATCTTTTACTTTAATGGTTTAGAGTTGTTGACGTTATTTTTTGGTAGTTTAGTGTACGAGGTTCTAAGCACTGGTTTATTGCATTATGCGATATCAGGGACTGATAATTGATTTGTTCATAAGGAGCACTCACTATTATTTCATTTGATATTTTAGATGGGACGTATTATGTTTGCTTTTGTAGTAATATTTGAAGTGTAACTACCCAAATCTTTTTAAAGTGCACATTTTACATATAATATTGCAAAATCTGTGAGGATGACATTTAAATAATGTTTTGTTACTATAATAATGTGACAAATTAGGTCTTTTTACATGTTGGAAGGACATAATTACTGGTGACTGGAAATGTTTTTAAATGTGTTCCTTGTGAGGAAGCATCAGCATCACTTTTTTTTTTAAATGTACACAACCTCTCCGCCTTCAGTACTGTAAAACACAATACAGTATGACTGTTTATATAAGTGAAATAATTCTGAACATGCCATAATTTATGGATTTATCCACATGCTTTTACTTGGTGCTATTTTTTACCCTTTCTGTAAACATGATTATCTTTTTTGTTTATTAAAATACAGTTATGCTCATTTCTGCTTGTACATTTATTTCCATATTAGTATTATATATTATACTTTAGTGAGAAAAGCTTGTAAACTGGTAGAAAATGTTTAATTATATATTGTATATTTTAAGGAGATTATACATAAACACAAGCACTAAACACTAAACCCAAGAATTCATCTGACATTCATTTTGTAAATGATCTGACATCTTTAATTTATAGGCAGTTTAAGTAAGTTAAAGTGGTGTGATTACATAAAAATCAAGATTCAAAAGGTTACTGAAACCTTTTTTATTCAAAATAATTACACGGTGTATGTAAGAAGAGGTGGTGCTGGTAAGTGAGTTGGGTTTGAAGTTGAAGGGAGTTGGTGAAGAGTTGGATATTTCTGAATGAGTAAGTAACTGAAGGCAGCAATTCTTATTTAGGTCACTCTTAGCTTGTTTTCACTAATATATTTCTTAGATGTTGGAATATTCTCCCATTCATCTATTAGGGTCAGCTCTGACAGCGGCGATGTGAGCTTCAGGAGTTCTGGAAAACAATATTCGATCCTAACACCACACAATCACGCCAAATATCATCTTCAAGAAGAGTTTAAGGCTACTCACCATTTTCTTTTAAAAAAAGGAAAGCATCCTTATATCCATTTTTGACACATCTCAGCCAAGACCTTACGAAACACCACCACAAGGTTATGTGGGCCTAAGTATGTTTTTGAAAAAAAGCATTCAAAAATGTACCTCTGGTTCTGGAGGAAAAAATGCAGTGACCACACGGTGTGTGTTAATGAAGTTGATGTGAATGCTGACGTTATTGACGTGATGTGACGTGACATGACATGACATGACATGTGGCCAAGTATGGTGACCCATACTTGGAATTAGTGCTCTGCATTGAACCCAACCAAAGTGCACACACACAGCAGTGAACACACACACACACACCCAGAGCAGATTCCCGGGGAGCAGTTGGGGGTTCGGTGCCTTGCTCAAGGGCACCTCAGTCGTGGTATTGAAGGTGGAAGAGAGCACTGTACATTCACTCCCCCCACCTACAATCCCTGCCGGTACGAGACTTGAACCCGCAACCTTTGGGTTACGAGTCCGACTCTAACCATTAGGCCACGACTTCCCGTTGTAGTATATGTCATGAAAGTAAAAAGCGTTGCCATTAGGACTGACGTCACTCTCTCCAGAAAAAGGCAAGATGGTGATTGTGTTCCTCAGACTAGAGAAAGGCATGTTATCAAGCAATGCTCCATCTACATACCTCTGAAAACTTATAATATGGGTAAAAACTTTAAAAATGGTTGAAACTTTAATTTAATTTGCATTTCAACTAACTAAATAAAAGACACACTCAGTAATTATTTTCCTAATTAGAAAATAATATAATCTTCAAAATATGTAACAAAAAAAATGTACATCGACGTAGAAAAAGCTGTTTTCATTTACATGGAGCGGGTCGCCTCGTGTTGAGGTCACATGACCAGCAGAACATTTTTCAAGTTTTATCTCGGTAGCTTTTCGACATTTTATGTCGCAAATATGAGCGTAAACTTAAAAAAAAATGCCGATCTATAAACTTCGAAATGCGAAACTTTCGCTCGTGGAAAATATTAGGCTCAACTGAAAATATTTGCATCCACACCACTAGGTGTCAGTCATATCAAGATAATAAAGCCAGCAAAACATCAAAACTAATAAAATATCAGTAAGAGCACATTCAATTGAAAAACTGACTATTATTGCGAACCAAAATATACGGTCAAACGGCTGTGTTTGGCTACATACTATTCCATGATATCTTGGAGGTATCACGCCACAGTACAGTGGATAAAAGCAACTACAAATCAGAGCCTGCAGACAGAGAGCAAAGTGTAAATCATAAATCCTCATTAACACTTATCTATTCATCATGCAGGAAGCAAAAGGTAGTTGAGTTCACCTGAGTGAGATCTTCTTTACTGTCAAACTCAGACACCAACACATTTGTCCCATCTGACACTCGTGTGAGTGACACAAACAGCCGTCCACTGGCGAGTAGGTGGGCATCATCAGGCAGGTCACGGTTTAGGAAGTTTCGTACTATCTTCAGCAGGTCGAAGGAGGGATGCACAGCACCCAGAGTGCCTTTCCGAGTCTCTCGAGACATGTCCAGCAAATTTTCACAGGATTTGGCTTCAAAATGGATTTACGAATGGAATATTAATCAATATAATAGTCATCCAAATGAATTAAACAGGGGTTTTTCTAGCTTTAATGAGTCTTCTGAAATAAGTTTAGATTTTAAAACTACTATTCACTATCATTGTGTCATTGAATGTGAAAGATTTGTCTTTTGGATTCGTGACAAATGCCTTCAACACACCTTATTTGTTGTCTTTTACAAATTGTGTGAAGTTTTAAAACTAGAAATAATTGTTGAAACATACCTGGAGACATTTGGCATGCTAGTATTGCACCCATGAGAGCACCAGATGAAGCCCCACAAATCTTCTTCACCCCCTTAAGAAGAAACGGGGCCCGTTCAAATAAACAGCTATAGACTCCACAGTAGTAAGCCATCAGAAATCCACAGCCAGCAAAAGAGATATTCCATTCTTTAGCAGATTCTTGCATGTTCTTCAACATATGAATCCCTGAGGTTATGTAGTGCAAGTGCGATAAATTACAGTGAGTCCAAATGAAGGTCAGTCAGTAGCACTGATAGTATCTGGCAACGTTCTACTATTACGAAATAGAGTGTTGCAATCGCAGGAGACATGTACTGGAAAAACATAGTGAGGACATTGCTGTGATCATTGAGTGATTTTTTTGTCAAAACATTAGTGATCTTGAAAGCCTTGATTGTGTTTGTGAGCAAAACTCGCTGCCATAATACTGTTAAATACTGGTTATTCCAAATAATTAATAACTTTTCAGCAAGAAAATACTACTAATTATAATACGATTTATTTTTTCAGAATTTATTTTTAATTGAATTACATATAAAATATGAAAGGTATAATATATAATTTCAAATTGTTATTTAAATTACATCAAATTCCTAATATAAACATATTCTCTTGCTGTATGAATAAAAACAACATAAATAAAGGATTAAAATAATCCGTTTATTTTTTATTTAAAAAACTGTGACATCAGTGTTGCTTAAGCAATGCAATAGGACACGCCAAACTAATAAACAGATGAATCTGCACTCATTTAAGGAAAATGCGCAGAAAATCATTGTATGAAATCCTTCCTGTGAGGTTCTTGTCAAAAAAAGAAGCGAAATGAAAGAATTCCTCCTCTGACAGATTCAAGCTGTATTGTCTCAGAACCTGAAAAAAAAAATAATGTCAAAATGTTGCATGATTAAATACAAGACATGAACTGAAAGTATTAAGTATAAAACAGTGCTTTGTACCTTTCTGAAGTCCTGAAGAGAGATCTTTCCAGTGCGCTCTTTGTCAAAGGCGATGAATTTGTGCCTCATCTGCCTCCAGAAGAGCTGGATAGGCCTGGAGATTCTCAGCATGGCTTCAACACACTGGCTACTAAGTGGGCCGGGACTCATCTGAAGGAGAAAGTCAGAAAATGCTCCGTGAGTATATTGACAATTCATCAACTATACTGGCCTATTTAGAATGACAGCAGTGAACTCACTGGTGTCCTGGGGAGCTGCAGTTTGAGTCTGTGGGATGCAGAGTTGACCTGAGGACTGAACATCAGCACAAAGTGCCGCAGGAAGTCCGGGTAAGAGAGATGTCCACTGTTTTTGATGTCGTATTTGACAGCCAGCTGCTCAAACTCAAGTGGACTCAGCTCAATATGGAGACCCTGGAGTATTTCTGCACAACATCAATTTAAATTCCCAATTTTCAAACAACAATGTGACAGTCATAAAATTTAATATATAATGTAAGGAACTACAATTACTGCATACACACACACACACACACACACACACACACACACATAAATTATTTATTATATACAAAATATATATTATATTACATTATATTGTATTTTATATTATTTAGAATATAAAAATCATCCTAATTCAGTCATTTGCTAATAATTTATTCAGAAAAAATTATATACAGAATTATAACATAATTTATAAAAGATAATTTTATATTGTTATATTAAAATACATAAAAATTATACTGTATTATATTATTATATTATATAAAAATCATTATAATTCAGACCCATTTGCTAATACATTTTCAGAAAATAATATAATTAAGACAAAATAATTCCTTGACTTTCCCATGTTTTTAAAAATACATAATTTTATAATTAATAATTATTCTAATTTTACAATAATTCTATAATATATATCATGCAATGTTATACATAATATTTTATATTATAAATATATATTATAAATTCAATTATATACAAAATAAAACAGAACATTTATATTTATATATATACTCAAACTCAAGTGGACTCAGCTCAATATGGAGACCCTGGAGTATTTCTGCACAACATCAATTTAAATTCCCAATTTTCAAACAACAATGTGACAGTCATAAAATTTAATATATAATGTAAGGAACTACAATTACTGCATACACACACACACACACACACACACACACATATATAAAAATCATTATAATTCAGACCCATTTGCTAATACATTTTCAGAAAATAATATAATTAAGACAAAATAATTCCTTGACTTTCCCATGTTTTTAAAAATACATAATTTTATAATTAATAATTATTCTAATTTTACAATAATTCTATAATATATATCATGCAATGTTATACATAATATTTTATATTATAAATATATATTATAAATTCAATTATATACAAAATAAAACAGAACATTTATATTTATATATATAATATTATTTTATATTATGTTATTTATAATTATATTTTTACACCTGTTAATAATTGTCTACTTATACCTCTCCTTACCGTGCAAGAAATCATACCTTGACAAAGGCTTTTCGCCGAAATGTTGGTGAAATAAAAAAGCTTATTTGCAAGTAAGTGTGCGGTTCTATGTCCTCTATTTTGGTGTCTTCTGACCTGCACCTCGTATGGTGTGCATGTGTGTGCTTGTTTATTTCATTAAGAAATTTATAACTATATAAAAATAATTAGAATTCAGACCCATTGTGACCTATTTCCGTACTGGTTTTACTGATTAATTGAAAATAGCCAATTTGAAAGTCAGAGCTAGAATATTTTAGATCTAAGCATAGCTAGAAAAATCATATTCACTATAGAAATGCCCATGACATTTTTTTTTTATTTCAATTACTTTTCTAAGCTTGGAAAATTCCCTAGTTTTGACTTTTTTATATGGTTGAAAGGTGCTGTGACTGTTAAATGGAGAGATATCTGGCCTCAACAATGTACCTAGGAATACATCCACATCTATCTCTCCGGTCCTCTCAAGGTCGGCCTGCCTGCATCTCCTCTGGATGTGCCTCCAACAGTCCTGGATCTTGGAACGTACCTTCATCTCCACATCCTCACAGTTCAGCAGTGGTGTGGACCTTCTGCTCGCAGTGGAGGGTCTCTGAAGCTGCTCTGACACTGGAGACTGTGGACAAGAGTGGTGGGTGGGATACAAAAGACATTAGGGAACTTGTCAAATCCAATGCAAAGAGAAGAAGTATACCAGTATTAGCATATGAAGTAAATCTACCGCAGAGCGCCTAAAGGCACAGGGTGCTGTTTTGGGGCGTCTGAGGGATGTTGGTCTCTCCAATGTTGCTCTTGCTGAACCTGGTAATGATTTAGCAACCTTTTCCAGGCCTTGCTGTTCTCCACTGAACTTTTTCAGGAATTCTCGATATTCCAGATTTCCAAAGCCATTAACTGGTAGCATTTTCCACAGGTCTTGAAACTGAAAGAGTTGGTTGTTTTTCAAGCTATTGAAGGAACTACTGTATTAAAGAAGCTCATGTGGTACTGGAAATTACCTGTTCGTCGGTGAGCCTCATGAAGTGACGATCACAAATGGTCTTAAAGTCAGTTTTGGAGATCATGTTTATATTGGCGTAGTCGAGGTCTACCATTTCCTTTGTTATAGTGTATATGCGGGCCGACACAACCTCCTGTATCCGCCTCAAAATGTCGCTGATGACTAAAGGTCGGAGCTGATTAGGAAAGCGCATCTTATGGATTTTCTTCAGCCATTCATCTGCCATCTGTTTGAGTTAAAGAAATAAATAGTGTTTTATTATACACCATATGAAACTTAGAGCATTCTAAATTTTGACAACTTCATATTGTGCAAAAAGTACAAACTCAACCATAAAAAAGCTTTTGACCTCTTGTTTGTGGAGGTTGAAGACTTGGAGGAATTCCTTCCAGTCAACCATAATCTCCTCCCCTTCGTTTATTCTCAGCTCAGACAGCAACTTCCTGAACTGCACTTCTGAGAGACGCATACAGAAATGTTCCAGCACTTGTTGAAACTTTGTTTGTGGTATCATACCATCTCCAGTCTTATCAAATGCAGAGAAGGCCTAGAAAACAAAGTGCAGCAGCAGTTTGGGGTTGGTATGATTTTGAATGTTTTTGTAATTTTGAATGTTTTCCTTGCTAAATAAAAGTATTAATTTCTTAAAAAAAAAAAAAAACCCTCACTTTTGGTACAGTAGTGTTTACAAAATACTTTACACAGCTCTGTTATTGCAGCACATTTCAGGTTAAAACATCTCTATAGCAATATTAATATACTGTACTATATAAACAGTCAGTACCTTGTAGAGAGTATCTGAGGAAGCAGTAACCAGCTCCTTGACTCTTTGTATTGTTTTTTCTGGGCTCAGCTCCTCTATATCCTCCACTGGTTCTGGAGAACCCACAGTCGGACCTTGAGGAGGTTCGACTGCAGACCCGCTGGAAACTGGAGGTCCAGCGAGATGCTTTAGAAAATCAAGGTATGGCAGTTCCTTCAGACTGCCATCAAAGCCAAGGCTGAAAAACAAAAAGAAAAGAGGAAATACAATGCAGTAGCTCATAACACTCACCATATTTTGAGTAAATTAACATGTCTGATATAGAGAGTTACAGGTTCAGTAGATGTGTGAGCTGTTGTTCTCTTAGTCGAAATCCATGTTTGTGCAGGAGAGAGAGCAGGTCTGTCACGGTCACGTGACCATCTTTGTTTTTATCCAGAATCACGAGGCTTCCACTCACTCTCTCAAAGTCATTCCCAATCCACTTCCTTCAAACACAGATAGGTCCATGTAACACTATATGCATGAGGAGAATATTTTCATCCACTATTACATTTGTCAATTGATTCAGAGATCATTTTCACCTAAGATTTTGTAGCATAACTTCCAGGTCAGGTGCGGAAATCGCCCTCTCGGTGAGCTGTTCTTGTAAAGCGTCTGATTGGCTGTCTTCATCTGATGTGATTTTAAGCTTTCTTAAAAACTCTGTCTGAGTGACAAAGCCCTTCCCCTCTTCATCATATCTGTGAAAAAAAAGAAGAGTTTTTAGTTTTATTTACAGCAGATATCAGACATTTGAAATTTCTGAATGCTTGCCAGATATATATTTTGGTTAACATCATGCTAATATTAATTGCAGTCAATGATTGAGTTGAGGAACACATACACTCCTTGAAATATCAGTGTTGCTTACCTGTCCCAGAGTTTTTCAAACTCGTTTGGTGTGATGGGCATGTAGTATTTAAAAA